ACGTTAGATTTAAATACTTCAAGGTGGGCATATTCTGTTAGTTTTAGCTTGGTTCTTACCTTTTTTTAAAGATACATTTGAAAGGAAGATTTACGTTGTTTAAAAAAGCTTTTGATGGAAATGGAAAATGGTCGATCTTCTTCTATTTGCTCTACATGTTTTGGCACACAACTCCCAAGCAACAAAATCGCCATTGTTCCATCTCGATTATGAATGTATGATTACTTCGAAGTAATTAACGTCATTTTCATTGACATGAAAAAGTGGAATCTAATGTTATTCTTCTTAGGGTGTATTGTTTTTGCTCTTCCTGTAGGTGAGTGCTTAAATTTGTTTATCACGTCACTTTTTTTAATGAGTCACGTATTTCATATATTTATTTAAAAGGTATACTCTAAAGTAACTAGATCTTTAAAAAATACGTCTATTCATTAAAAATGAATTTCTGTTAACGTTGTTTCTGATGTACTTTTGAATTGATTCTGTGTGTTTTTATGATATATAGCATTTTCAGCATAGAATGAAATTAAACGAAACGTGCATATATATTATGAATTTAACATGTATAAAATATCTCATTTATTTATTTTTTTAGATTTTTCATGTACTCTACCATTCACAGGAACTTGGGTGACTAGTAACCGTGGAAGATGGGTAGTATCTTCCAGTTCTATTCAAAATTTCAAATTGAATGTAGACACTTCCGGGTCTACCTTATGGACAATGGATTGTTATTCATTTGACGGTACTTATTATGTGCTCAAGTAAGTTACATAAATTATTGATTATTTAAATTTAAATGAAATTAACTTTGAGTCTTTCTCTGATAACGGGCAAATTTTATCATATACTATATTTATATCGATCAAATGTTCACTTAACCGTTTGAATTGCAGGTCAACTGGAATTTTTAAACCTTTTACAACTGTGGATACCTATATTTACATTTGTTTGAGATTCACAATGCAGAGCAACTATAAATACTTATTCAACATTCATACAACTTAGTGATATTAGATTATCATTATTTTCTTTAATTTGCAAAATAATGAACATCGATAAAATATTGAAAGGTTCCTTATTGTAAATAAAACTAGAGGTACTGTGAGCAATGAGCTCACTAAATGACACCCCCGCCTCCCATATGAATATAATGGCAGTGTCCATATTTTGCTCTGGAAAATCAAAAATATATGTCAGATCAAAAAGTAAAATAGGAGGTGCACAATGGCAATATGTAATTAAGAATCTGTGAAAGTTTCATTAAATTTCCTTTAGTGGTATGAGAGGAGTTGCGGATAAGAGATGGGTACCCCAAAGCGTAACAGACGGACGGACGGAAATACCGATTACTATATACCCTCCCACTTTTCAGGCGGGGGGTATAAAAACACTACCGTGAAGATGATACATGTAACAGAAATATTCCATTTATTTTCTTTGACGACATTGTTTTCAAATTTATGTAAACGTAGTAAGTGGTGCAATCAGTGCTTACTACAAATGATTTTTTTTTTGTTCATTTTTTAAAGATGAAGAAGAAGTTAGAACATCACCTTCCGTTTACGAGCGTGTAACCATCAAGCATATCTCAGTCACAAGTATAAGTCAGGGAGAAGTGTGCAATGACATTTCCAATCTAGGAATGGAAAGATACCACGTTGCACTCAAAAACGGTATTTATTGACAAGGCACATCACATACTTTAATTCATTCATCTAATTTAAAAAGTATCCTAGCTTCAGAAAAAATAACACATTTCATAAAATGTTCGTTACTTAATTCCTTTTGATATTAAGTCCACTTACCTGTAGCGTTTTATGCACTCATTACACCAAGTGTAATGTGGAAAAAATAAAATTATTTATTACTTTCATAAGTTTTTGAGGGAATAATTTACTGGTACGCGTATTTTGATTCGTTCTTAATGTAATTTAAAACAGGACACGAAGTTTCAGCAATGGTCACTTGTCCAACTAGTATTCAAGGAATCTTTTCATATACATACACGGGACTTGCATGCACTGATACCTTGCTGGACACGTGCACAAACAAAACAATGTTTATATACAACGACACTTTGTGCAATGATAATCCAATGTTTTCCAGTGAGTACTGGTATCCTTTACCAAGTGATAAATACTGTAAAATCACGTATTTTCGTGGGGTCAAATTTTTGTGGTTTGAGGAAATTCTCTTGGTTTGTGGGGATTTGATTTCGTGGATCAAGAATCAATGAGTACTTATGTATATAACAATTTACCTTTCGTGGTAGACATGAATTCATAGGTCTCTGCATACCTCGAAAACAACGAAAATTAAACCCCTACAAAAATTTGTGATTTCACAGTACCAGGTTTTCAAATTGCAATGCATTTACTATACGAAAGTCCTACCAGCTTCTAGTGTTGGTACGGATCCTTCTTAATTTTTTTTTTCTTGCATTACTATGAGGTGTAAAACTGAATTTTTTTTTAAATTGTGCTATTTGATACTATGTATAGAATATATAAAATGTTCATCATGAATAAATATATGGCATTTATCAATGTTTTGTAATTGGGCGTGAAATTTATTTTACGATTGATACAGAATTCGTGTATATTTTCATACTCGTGAAAAAAAAATCTAAAAGGGGAATAAATTCCGTATTCGATTTTAAAATCTTCAGTATATTAATATGTTTATGATATTTTTATACTAGCAACTTTCATAGAAGTATGATTCTTCCTTCATCACTTTCTTTTCTAAAACTGTATTTATACGATGACGTCTTATTTGTGGTGAATGCTTGTGACTTTCTTGTTAAGTGTTCGTGGGATTTAAAACATTTTTTACATATTTTACGACACTGTATGTTTGGAAAGAAAACTTTTAATCTTCCGCATTTCTGATAATCAATATCATTTTCATTAAAAGAATAAATCAAAATATCTTACTTTTAAGGAGCTAATAAATATAAAAATAATAATACCGCTATCAAGACTGTCTGCACTATGGCTGAAATTTGTGTCTAGGTAATATAAATGATGTGATATTGAAAAGGCGTGTAATAACCTCTGTTTGATAAATGCATATAAAATTCAAACGCAGCGGGGTTTTTCAATAACATTGTGCTGGAAATAAAAGATGAATGAAAGTTTGAAAAGTTTGCTTTCTTTTATCTTATACAGGTGAGGGTATGTTGCATTGTACATTCACTGGAATTGAAGGAAGTGACACATTTGTCACTTTGTACAATGCTGACTCATCTGTCACAAATCCTTCCAGCTTTCAATTCTCATGCATGGTAAGCTGTTAAAAAAATTAGATTTTGAGAACAGATATTTGAAATGAAAGTATTCGTCATGAATTTTATGGGATCAAGTACAAGGAGGTAGTGGGCATCTCCTGCTAACATGTCATATCCTCTGTGTGCGTCGTGTCATATGACCAGCAAAAAATGGAGAAAAAAAAAGTCGTCGAATTTTAAGTTGAAGACACGTTTCCAGAATGCTAACTCTTTGTTATCCCCACGTATTTCGTTCACACTGTAGAGCAGTTAGTATATTTTACATTAAGCCGCAGTGGTAGAGCGTCTGCTCCACAGTCACGGAGTACGATTTGATCCTGGCGTTGCCGGTTCGAATCCGACTGTGGGTCGATGAGACCGTCCTTCGGATGAAACTGATCATTAAACTGAGGTTCCGTGCTGCAGTAGGTGCTAGCACTTAAAATATCCCTCGTTGCTCAATGATCCCGATCATCAGTGCCGAGAACAGGTCAATATTTGCAAATCTCAAAGCGGTGATAGTGTCTCCATATGAGTGAAAAATGTTCGAGAGGGACATAAATCAATCATATTATTCTGCAAGACAGTTTCACTATAATTCGTGCAAATGTAGTATTTTTAAGATACTTTTTAATGGAAAAAATTAATAATAGGAAATAATTTAGATTATATGCAAACTCGACAGATTACAGACCAAAGTGAAACAATTCAAATAATATCAGTATATGTTTATAACCAGGATTATTTCAAATTATAAATCCTTTCACTTCTTCTTTATTTCCAAACAACAATTTTCTAAGATTCAACTTTAAATAGTTCCATTCAAACGTTGGAACGTTCTACTACTTCAGAGCTCTAAACTGTGGTTAGAAATTTAAAATCATAGATAAAAAAGATTCAAATAATAAGAAGGGTTTTTTTTTCTAGGCTAAAACATCAATAAAAACTGTATGGTAATAGTTTAAAGTTGATTTTTTAGGTGTATACAGCTAGTGGAAGCACTGTGTCAGCAACTATTAATCCAGAGGAGTGTATAACAGGACAAACGTCGACATCCTTAACGTCAATGTATGGAAAGACCGTGACATATACGGCTTTATCCTCTTGTAAGTTAAAATACTCCTTGACGATAGAAATTATAAAGATTTCTTATGAGTTGCTTCTTATCACATTCACTTTATGAAATAAGAAGTACTAGTAAACAATGTAATGAAACATATGGGAATAAGGAACAATTATACTAGTACCTGTGTACCATTTATTGTTGTTTCCTTTATCTTTAAAACGGACACTGTAAGTAAATGGCATACTAGGAGATAACGAACAGTATTCAAGCTCAAAAATTCATCAAATAATACCTAATAGGAGCAGAGCAAATTTAACACGGACCTCCAAAACGTCAAAGGTAGGATCATGTGCATGGAGGAGTGAGCATCCCCTGTTGATCAGTTACACTCGCAGTGGGCTCCTTGTCATGATCGAGAAATAACGGAAAATCCGTCGTCAAATTTTGGTTGTAAAACGTCATCATATATCGTGAAACCTGATACATGTACCACTCTCACAATAATGCAATTTAAACGTATCAATCCATGTAACGTTAGTGTTTAAATATGTTTAATCTGAGAGCATTTTTAAAGGAGAAATTGTAATATTTTTTCTGATTAAATGATGGAAAATAATTTATGAGGTATACATTTTATAGCTACAAAAGTTTTATTAGTGTAACCTTGGTTGGGACAGTTTACATTTTACAAACAGATTCGAACTTTATAAAGCGTAAAATTTGCTAACCCTGATTAAAAAAAAACTTAATTAATTAATTATTGAATACATTCCTTAAATTACACCTGAAGAAAAATTAAGGATGGTCATTTTAAAATCGATAAAATTATGTTTGGTAGGAAAATATTGTGCTTTTTAAAATTTCCTATTCCTTGAACAATACAAATTAGAGAAAAAAAACTTAATTGTTGTGATCTTATAAAGCATAGCTTTAAAGATACATTTATCTTTCTTTCAGCAACAGATAATCAAATTTTACGATGGTTTTTATTATGCCGATGATCAAATCGACGTTTTTACATGCTTCCTGCTTATAAATGACTAATATTTATTAAAAAGGAGATGGAATATCTGTTATGTAATTTATTATTTAAAATGATATTCTGTAAAAGATTAATATAATTTTTCACATTTGAACCCATAAAAGTGTTACTATGGAATATATTTAGTAGTCAAACTCAGGATTTTTAGTCTATTGAAACAATACGAAATGATAGCATAGCAAACACTTAAAAAACGTCAGAGGTGGGATCAAGTGCCATTGAGTTGTAAGCATTCCCTTTCAACCGGTCAAATCCACAGGGACCAGACAAATGGTTGATCTAGCCCCATTTCCCTGCTTATAAACACAAAAATAAAAAAATACATTATTTCCTAGCCTATCATACCTATTTCGATGATCACCGTCATTTTCCTTTTTGTTAAGTTTACGGTACACAAAAATACCAAAGTTACAAACAAACCTTGTAAACACATGGTGCCTCGTGTTGAGGGAGACTTTTAACGTTAATACAATATAACCAATGAAGTTTATGCCAGATTCAGAGCAGAAGCATGCTGTTTTACACACTTCTTACAGTCAAACTCGATCATAATGACTTATACTTATGTCCTTATATGTCCTAAATGTATTAAAGTATTATTTTGTACAAAATGCCAAAACTGTATGACCCAATATTTCTTTCTGGACGTTCTTAACTACTTATTGATTTTTTTCTCAAAACATATATTTAATTACACATGTATATATTTAGCTAACATAAATCTTCTCTAAAACTCTGTTTTAAGTTTTGAACTGTTACTATATATATACATATTTTGATGAATTGCAGGTTCTCCTTCAAATCCAGACGATTCAGAAAACAATTTTACTTGGCTTTATATCCTTCTAGGCGTCTTTGTATTCATTGTCCTCATTTTGATCATCTTTTTCTTCATCAAAGGTGGATTCAAGAAAAAAGGACAAGTGCTTCCCAACAAAAACGAAGATATTATCATTTCTAAACCACCTATAAGATATATCTTCAGGTGATTTGGATTTTAAAGTCTCGAATTGATATTTTAGATGTAGATCTTATTAAAGATGAATCTTTTAAATAGAGCTAATACTGTATTATTTTTTCCTATGATGAATGTTAAAACTATGTTGATTTTTTTCTTAAATACGCTATACATTGTCCTAAATGACGACTTTTTTTCTTTTCATACTTTTACGTACAAATTCCCACTTAATTCATATTTTTTCAGGAATTGCATTTGACAACGATCGGGAAAATGTGCAATACCCGATACACACTTAATTCCTTTAAAAACTACAACGCTAATACTGCTTTAAACAACTTAATGTAGAGAAATGTATTTAAGCATTTATACATGTACATTCTGACTCTGTGGTTTAATCTAGCTACACTCTCCATAGTAGCATTTCACTTATTTTAGATTTGCTAGCATCAGTCTCGATGGTAAAATATATTTCATAGTGTCAGAAATATCGAATAATAATGATAATTTACTCATATCTGACATAGTTCAATTTAACTGAGTTACTGAGTTAGCTCATTTAATGAATTACTTAGTTAACGGACTTAATAATTTACTGAGTTGAATGAGTTTGTTTCTCTTTTTAAAGTAGCAAATCGCAGTCTTAATAACTCAGTTTTGTTCGAATTATATAAAAAAAATTCGAACAAAACTGAGTAATTAGGTTTAACATCAATCAAACATCTGTCATCGACTCATGTCACGGTCTACAGTCCGCATATAGGTCTCTCTAGAATGAGAGAGGATCTTACATTTTGGCCGTGGTTTGCAACGATGAAAGTCTGTAGATTTTATTATTTCATAACCTACATAAAATGTCTTTTAAGTGGTTCTCCATTATGTATTTTATCTTGGCTTATTTGTGAAGTTGTTCATACGTAGATCATGTTCTTGCATATTGAGTCAGTTGACAGATAAATTTCATTTTCAGATCATGAGAGTGTACTGCTACATGAGTAAGGGAAATAAACTATTTAAAAAAGTCACTTAGTGTTTAGAAAAGCTTGGTTGTCAAGTTATCACTGATGTCTTTTACCATTCAAACGTGAAACACATGTGAAAGACTCTGTGATATATTTTAATTCAAACACACACGCCACGGGATAAACATATATCGAATTTACAATGAAAGGAGGTAACTTTTTTATGACTATACGTTTTCAATACGTTTTAGAATGATAAGCCACGATAGGTATTTTCTTCTCTGAACATTTTCTATTCATTTGAAAAACGTTTTAAAACTTTTCAGAGAATAGTATGTTCATATGGTTCACAAGAGGTAATTGTTATACGTAAAAAAAAATCACGTCGATATACTGAATATACATAAAGAATAACGTGAAAACAATATCAGCAATCTTCTGTTAGAATTCCACTTAATTTATATTATTCAATTTACTTGCTGATTGATTTAAAACTGAAATAATTTATAGAAAAGATGAGATACTTAAAATATATACATATATATTACGTATAAACATTTTACATATTGACAATATTTCTGCAATTTCCTGATAAATTTAAGTTCCACTTTTTGACATTTTCAGAGATCCTGTCCCTGTTTGTTTCCTTAATGTTTTCATATTTTATTGTATTTCAGCCGCATTCTGAATGCCATTTATTTTAATTGTAATTTCCCTTTCACCAATTTAAGAGAGGGACGATGCGGATATAGAGCTAATATTTTGACCTCCGACCGAAATGTGGATTTTAAAAAAAAATTGTTAGAAATAAAATTGTATCAATTTCTTTTATTTAATTTGCAAAACCTGCAAAACCCGACAGATTTGATAGGATACAGAATTTACAAAATATATGATTTAAAACAAAATTTCTTCTTAAAACAATTAATTTATTTTTGAGGTATAGATTAAGAAGGAAGTAAACTCTTTATTTAACAAATTTTAAAGTACAATTCATATTTAACAGCAGTACCATATACAAATATAACAAACTTTTATGAATATAGGTTGTATAACCATTAATTATTTTTTCCAATTTTAACAACCTGTTTCCACATTATCATAAACGTATGTAAAATAAATGTCATTAGTTTCATTATGAGCTGTTTATTAATATATGAATGTTCATACATTACAAATATGAAAATTTCCATTTGCATAACATCAGATTTATGTACACATTTGTTTTAATTTCCATGATCAACAACCACACCTGATGGTAAGTATAAAGTAAACAAATTGTGTAAAAGTTCTCAAATACTATTTTCTTATTTTAAAACAAGATCTCGTGGTGATTCAACAAATTCTTCAAATTTTCTTTCATTGTTTCAAACATCGTATTGAAATAATTAGATAGACGCATTGAACGAAAAAATGTAAATAAAGGTATAATTTTCATGCGATTCTTTTTTCAAATATAATCATTAAATGTTATTAATCGGTTTTAAAATATTAGATATTCAATCTTCTGGAAAACAAAAAAAAAATCATTTATATCCATTTATTCCAAATATTTGATAGAATATCATTTGGTTTTCGGGCTGCCAAAATGATTTTAGAAGTAACCGTAGGATGAATTAAATTTGCAAAAATACAGAATGACGGTAGACCAAAGATTTTGATACAAACTTCAGAAAAGATGATCGGAACATATACAATGTATGTACCTGTATCTTTCCATGCTTTACCATACATTTATACGATGACACGACGTCCCTTTTTGATAAATCTTTCGTATCTTTTTGTTCGTTTTAATTTTAACCGATTAGTCTTTACATGTATGAATTACTTGTGAAAATTTGCAGAGATTATCCAAACAATCTTGCTGCATGTTTAATAATAAACAAAAAAAAAGAGTTTTCTGAGTATTGCTTTTTTCATTTAATTGTCTTTTGTAAATTTGCTTTTTAAAACAACAAACATTAAATCTATTTGAATCTAGATTTAGATCAAACCAATTCTAAAAGATCTACAATTAAAGTTTAGTAGATTCAGTAAATTTATTTACAAAGAAACACGCTCTAACCGGCGTGTCTTGATAGACTGACTCAATTGGTTTATCGTTTATGTTTTGCATGCATTCATGATCATCAAAAATACCAATCTCACTTTTAATTGACTCTTCTGTTTCCTTACTACTACTCACCACCTCTCCCGTTTCATTCGTATGGTTGGATGTGATTGTCTTATTTTTAATTACCTCACTGTAAATATATTTTTCACACTCTTCATGGGGATATTTACAAAGACTGGTGGTCGTTTCGCTTTCATCTAATGCTATGTTGATTTTGTGAGAATTTGCCGAATCGTCATATATATTTAAATGCATGTTGTTACTGGCTGAATCGTCGAACGTTTCTACTAACATGTTGTCGATTATATCCATATAAATATCTGAGGAAGCTTCGTTACTACTTTGAATTACCTTTATTCTTTTGCATTTAATAATTGCTTTTTGAACTGTGAAAAATATTACACTAAACACGACAATTCCAGACAAAATAACTAATGTAATAAAAACAGAAGATTCTCTTTCAAAAAAGCCGTTACCATTTGAAAATATCATATCATCAGTCGTTGTTTCTGAGATATTACTGGTGAAACTATAATTTGTTGATAAGGTGGTCATCTCTTTCACTAAAATGTGGAAACAATTAAATTATTGTGATTGAAAACTGATAACGGCATATAGTACAAGCTGTATATATACATAAGGCAGAAGTAAGAATAAATTGAGTACCATTATCAGATGACAACATTTCAAATCCAGTATCCTGAGTATATGGTGATTGAGTCGTCAAGTTTTCTTTATCAATATAAAAAGAAACAAATTATTTTCAACCATTTCATCAGAAAAACACCTGAATGTTGTTGATAACAATTCCAAAGAATTATTCAAATGACCTTTTAAAGGTTAAAATTTCCTAAACAGTTTTTTAATAGAAAAAAATGAAAAATATAAATTTACTTAATATGTTTACACATTTAGGTACCTGGAATTGCTTTACAACCATCTTTGTGATCACAATATTCTTTTAAGCAGTTGCATTCTTCGTTACATAGAGGTCCAAACCCGGGATAAACACATGCATATCTACATTGGTCGCCGAAATACCCGGGAAGGCAGGCTAGGAAAAAAGATAGATGCATAATGTATCAATCTAAATTGGTCACTGAAATATAAAGAAAGCAGGCTAGAAAGTATAGATACACTGGTCACTGAAAGACCCCGAAAAGCAGGCTAGAAAATAAAGAAAGGTGCAGATATATAAATCTACATTGGTCACCGAAATACCCAGGAAGACAGGCTAGAATAAAAAAGATAGAAATGCAAGATGCCCTGTCGAGTCTCTGTAATCTATAAGCTTGATCTTCACAAAATGTTATAAAGTGTATTTTCAAACCGGTAATGGAAGTGGCTTATTGTTTATTCTAACACTCGATCGTCGAGTACTCTACTTTAATTGACACGATGATTAGAAATTGGCATGAAAATAGAAGTGCTCAAAAAATTATTATATAAAAAAAATACTACCTTGACAGGTGTTGCTGACTTTGTAAAAGTTTGTGCAGCATTTCTCTCCTCCAGTTGAATTCCTTTATTAAAAGTTGAAATTATTCCTTAATGATTTTTTTTTAAATGTGTCATAAATTACATAAATTACATGACTATAGAAGTTTTCATTGGTCACCTACCTGATCGAGCAGGCTTTAATGGTAGGAATTGATATCATATTCACTACAATAGCAATCGAGAAAATTCCGATAAACATGGTTAATTCGTTCTTACTACTGATCGCAATTTAATAATAAACTGTTTATTTTCATATTTTGGTGTTATGTACTACAGGAAAAAAATACTGACCATTTGTCATTCAACTCTTGCCTAATATATTCTACAATATTTAACAGAATCAAGAAAAACGTGTTATGTTTCCTTATTTTTTGAAGGAAAAACATTAAAATTCAATTACAGATCAATTATTCTATGGACAAATTTGTTATACTCGTTTTGCTCTGAAGTTTATGGAATTAGTCGTCCTGAATTCATTTCAATGTTCAACTTTATTTAGGAAATGCGGTTTTCCAGCCACATCCTCTCAGAATTATGTATTAATTAAGTCCAGGAAATACAAAAATAGATGCATCAAACATGCGGCAATTGGCCTAGCCTTTAAACGAAATAACAAAGATATATCCTGGCTATTACCTTATCGATTAAGTGTGTTAAAATTTAATTGTTTAATAATAAAATACAAACAAAGTTGCAGATGAAAAATGCCGAGACTTATGATCATTATCAGTTAAAAGCAGATGTTTTGAGTAACGTGATGTGCTGAAAAGTTTCATGTTTTTATGCTTTTTATGTTTCTTGCACGAAAAAGATCCCTTTCAGACATTGCTCAATGACCGTATTTAATCAACGCCAAGAATACAAAGGATATTGATACTATGAATACTTTGAACATCCATAAGTAAGGGAAACATGAAAACAGTAAGCACACAAAACACATACTATTTACGCAGGTAGGTTAAGGTTACAACCAAATATTCAACTTGCCTATATGATATGACGTCATAGTAAGCTATATGACGTGAGGTTTAGAGACAATAATTTCTTAGAATCGATATCTAAGATTGATTTGAAGTCGTAAAAATGAATCAAAATATGCAGAGACATAATATAAACGGAATTTTGTCGTTCCTGGGCCTCTGTAGTTATCACAGGGGTTACATACCAATCCCGTGACGTCATTGCTGTTGATCATGCAGTAGCAGAGTGAAAGTGAATCGTAACGAGAATTGATGTAAACAAACACAAGAAATCGGAGTTTAAAAGCATTTAGAATAAATATCATGTGTGATTCTTGTGGGAATAAAGCGTATGAATAAGGTATGGTAATATAATTTTGCAATTTCTTCGTAAAATTATAGCAGGGAGTGTGTTTACTTGCCGATTAGCCTTTCCTCTGTCGTTCGTAACAAAAAAGATGCAAAAGTTCAACACTACGCCGCATACTTTGAAACTTAATTTTTGTTTCTATCTAAAGTTCTTATTCTTTTGTTTTTGAAAAGTGCTGCTAGAATCGTATGGTTTACGGGAATTGATGCTTTTCTTTCAATGTTATGAACAAAATGTAAAAATTTTGGGAAGGTTTCGTCCGAAATTGTTGAATAATTATTTCTATAATAGTACAGTAGGATTCTAGCAGCACTTTTCATGGTACAGAGATGTTTTACCATAATTATTATTACAAATTGCAACTTATTATTCCCGGGGTAGTGTTAAAATTTTCACTTTTACATTAAGGTATATTTTCTAATTATAGACGTCACGTGGTGACGTCGTGGTGAAGTCCTGTAGTATAAGTCCCATTGAAGTCTATAGAATGCATAATCATAGCAAAAGTTTTATCTTTGACTTTTCCCATTTATTAGTGTTACATAATCATAAAGAAGTTAATTCGCCGAATTCTGATCCATGTGCTGCCTTAACATACCCGCGTATTTTGCTTTAAAAATATGCTGACTAACAGGACTGACAAGCTTCATGATATACGTAAATCACAACTTATAACTGTTACAATTGTAGCAACTTGCCTTGAAGATCTAAACGTTGTTAAATTAATATCTATAAAGACATTATGAATATGACGTAGGTTATGAGAAATGGATATCATTATACTGCAATCGCTCACGACATCTATGAAATCCAGTTAGCATTATATAAGCTAGCTAGCTTGAACCTTGTTTAGTGTCAAATGTTTTGGGCTAAATGTTGTGAAGGTATATATTGTCTTTACAATAAAAAAAGTCATGGGGATTTAATTTCGTTGGTTGTTGATTAAAACGAAAATCCCCGCAAATCTGTTTAATATTGTAAATATTTATGCTCTAAATCAATATATTCATATATTGCAAAAATATTTCTTTATTTTGAAAACAGAAGAACAAAGTTCTATGAAATATTTTGTTTAAAGGACTTTGCTACCATGGCCGATATGAGCCGTCAAATTACAAGAATGAGTAGCCTCTATCAAGTACTCATAATTATTTGACTTTAATAGTATTACCAGTATCATTTTGTACATGTACATTTTGTCAATGACAAAACGCATGTAGTTGTAATATATAACCATACATTTACAAATCTTGAGACAAAATGCACTTCAGACTACTTAACATTCCTTAGATTTATTGGAATGCTTATCTGTAAAGTTAGAAGCGACAAAATTAAAAACATCTGCATCTGATCTTCCTTCTATTTTCTCCTGTTCCCCTCATTTTCAGTTGTTAAATAAGTGTTGTGTCTACTACTTTTATTAATTGATCACAAAATTCAGCGATAATTTTGATGAGATCGCTTGATGATCTGTGCAATAAAGTGTTTATTTTTTATTGTACTTGTACATGATTACAATATGTACAGTTACCACATTTCAGACTACATAAGGGTCAATAACTTTGTTCAGGACAAGTGAGAACAATGTAATCCACAATATCCAGGTGAACATTCTGAAAAGTAAACTGCTTATTTCATTTAGAACCTATTTAAACGTTTTCATACATTGTAAGAGGACAGTTTGTCAATTCTTACCATTTAGCGTTACAAACGTTGCATAAATTTCTCATTTCACATATTTATTTAGATTTTAATTATAGAGATTTATCAATTATTGATACAACCTTTACAGATATTCCCTTCCCTGAAATAATTAACTCAGCATGAAACTGATCCGTTCTTTATGAGCCTTGAAAAAGTCAAAAATTAGATCTTCGATTCCTTTAATGAAACATTTTTAAAAATTTTAAGTGAAAATTGAATAGATAAAAATAAACATTTTACCACGTTTGACAACTTTCTACTCCATTTCCATGAATGCAGATGGATATCATTTGACAAACAAATACAGTGTGTACAAAATATTTTGTCATTTTTGATGGTAGCATCATAAAAACAACACAACACAATTATATACTCTGATCTATTTTACAATTCAAAAATTATTTACAGCTGTTACTTTCAATGCTGAAAGATTGCATGTCAATCACTTTTTTTCTAGTAAAATTTCCTGCAGATAAAGAAACAATGTTCAATATAAATTTTTGCAGATAAAGGAACAACGTTTGATATAAATTCATAATTTACTTCCTTTGACGACGTGTCAGAAAAAAATATCAACAATAATTTTCAAAATTTTTAAAAAGAAATTATGAAATGTCTCTGAATAAGGTTTTATGTGTATCATTTATTTTCACAAATGAAGTGTAAACAACGCCAAGAATACAAGGGAGATTGATACTATGAATACTTTGAACATCCATAAAAAGGAAAACATGACAACATTTAACAACCAAAACTCACACTATTAATTTTGCAATCTTTTATATTTGGCGTCATATTAACAAATATGATATACCTAAATATGCACAAATATCAACCTAAATAAACTTGAATTTTTAATTTAATAATGTTTAACTGAATTTATTTTCTGGATGTTTAAAACATAGAACGTAGTGGCCTTTATGGATGTCGCCGCGTGACAACCAAACGTCACAAATTAATGTGTACTTTTTTAGAATAAAAAAGACAAAAACATTTATAAGCATCTTTGAAAAGCGCCTAATCGCCCAATATTTTAAAAGACAAAAAATTACGTCATTCTCTGGTCATAAGTTTTATGACATCATTGCTATTTTTTAATAAAAAAAACAATATCGCTGTTTTACTCCGATGCATTGAAAAAAAATGTCGAAATGGAAAAAAGAAACCCACAATAAACTTTAATGCACCTTTGCTTCAATGGAGAAAATCGCCAGTAGAGACAGTTACGTTGATTCACCAGACTCACAAAGTAAAGAATGTAAATAAGAGACTTGTTTAGATGGTTTCAGCGATTTTGGGCTGATGATGGGTCATTTAATGCTCAGTAGATGACAAAAAGACCGAAAGATAGGAGGGCAGACGGAAACGTTCAATGGTGTGTGACTTTGTCAAGAAAGACAGACGGTTAGAGCGATGAGTGAAATTTTAAGTTGGTCTTATACTACTGTTCAAAGAATTTTGACAGAGGAATAACTCATGAAAAGAGTGAGTGTACGATGGGTGGCAAGTTTTCTTAAGGAAAGTGAAATTTGTAAACGCGTTCGTGAATCTCAAATGTTTTTTAAACAATTTCTAAAACGAGGTAAATTATTGACAAACAAGTTGATGAAACAAGACTATCAGCATTCTCGTTTAAAGTCACCATTTCATAAGTTCTATAATGGTCGATACCATGACCTTGTCTGCAAATACAATTTATCATTGAGTCAAATGCTGGCTGATGTTTTTCATACTAATTGTTACATGTAGTCCATTATTTATACACTGAATTGACGACAGATTTTCCCATTATCTCCCGATCATGAAAGGGGCATACGGCGGGTGTGACCGGTCGGCAGGGGATGCTCACTCCTCAATGGCACCTGATCCAACCTCTGATGTTTTGGAGGTTCGTGTTTGCTCTGCTCCTTTTTTGTATTGTTTTATGGACTTGGATATTGAATACTGTTTGTTATCTCCATATCCTTCATTAAAGCGTTTAAATGTATGACGGCGCGTATCCGTCATATGACGTTATCTAGGTGCGGCGACTGCCATAATCGCACGTTGTATATAATCCGATCTTTTTTGGAAGTATAAATCATATTTAATTGAAATTTTCAGGTCTGATTTGAAATAAATGTAGCTTTCATCATTGATTATTTTGTTGTTTTACGTCGACTGGTGGCGATTTTATTGGAGTAGTG